CCTGACGGAACTTATTGTCACTGGGGAATGACAAGTTCTATGGTGTGCATAAAGAGCACGGTGGAAGCTAGGAGTCATCGCACCGGTGCCCAGGATTAAAGCTAAGGAGGAAGAAGTAGGAAAATCGTTTCATGACCCCTTTAATATGCTCCAGGGGGTCACCTGACCTCGGGGGGAGGGGGTCACGTGACCTCGGGGGGGGGGGGGTCACGTGACCTAGGGGAGGGGGCCACATGACCTTGGGGGGTCACATGACCCTGGTGGGTCACGTGACCTTGGGGGTCACGTGGGGGTCACCTTGGGGGTCACGTGACCTTGGAAGGGGCCACGTGACTTCGGGGGTCACGTAACCTTGGGAGGGGTCACGTTACCTTGGGGGGTCACGTGACCTGGGAGTCACGTGACCTTGGGAGGGGTCACGTGACCTCGGGGGTCACGTGACCTTGGGGTGACCTAAGGGTCACGTGGCCTTGGGGTGACGTGACCTTGGGAGGGCAATCATGCAGGGTTCATTGATTTTGCAAACACTTACCAACGTTAGTATTGTGCTACCGAAGAAACTGAAAGGACGGAATGTAAGCTATACTTCGTTCCAGCTTCGGTCCAGACGCAGCCAAAGCTACAAGCGCGAGCTGCGGGCTTTCAGCATCCCTGCCAAGCACGCGCGCTCGTGCAGTGCAAGCGCTGTTCTGGGCCACATGCTCGCGCTTGTAGCATCGGCTGCGTCTGGACCGAAGCTGAAACGAAGTATAGGCTAGAAGTTATCTGCAGGAGCGGGATATTTTTTAGAGCGCAGCTCTTAGGCGCCCGTTTCCGGCTTGAGCGGCGTCGCCGTCGCCGTCGGCGTAACCAAGGTCACCCCAAGGTCACGTGACCCCTCCCAAGGTCACGTGACCTTGGGGTGACCTTGGGGGTCACGTGACCTTGGGGTGACCTTAAGTACGCCGACGGCGACGGCGACGCCACTCAAGCCGGAAACGGGCGCCTAAGAGCTGCGCTCTAAAAAATATCCCGCTCCTGCAGATAACTTATAGCCTAGCTTACATTCCGTCCTTTCAGTTTCTTCGGTAGCACAATACTAACGTCGGTAAGTGTTTGCAAAATCAATGAACCCTGCATGATTGCACCGCAGGCAGATACGTAGCTGGTGGAGGGGGGGGGGGGGGGGGGAAGGTGATGGCCCGGGTCCCCCAAATCTTTCATTTTGCTGGGACCTCCTCTCCCTCCTCCCCCTCATACAGCATTTTATCATGGGCGCCCCTCCCCCGAATCAAAATCCTGGCTACGTGCCTGACCGCAGGTAAACAATACCTTAAAGGGGTACTCCGCCGATTTCTTCATGGTCCCCGATTTGCTTGAAATTTTGCTGAACTCGCCAAACAACATCGCCAAAATAGTATACCAAATATTAGATCAAAATAATTTTTTTTCACTAATTTATTGAATTTACAATTGTGGTCCTCACCGTGTTTTTCAAAGTGAAAGTCTCTACTGGCAACAATGAAAAAGTGACGTCATTGGAAGTGCAGGGGTTCACTCTTTGGACTGTAGAATTTGTTCCCAACTGATTTGAAGCAGTTTTATGGTGTCAAATGAATGCCTTGGAAGCTCGCTCCAGTCCCCGCGCTCCAGCACGGAACAAATAATTGGCATATTCTATTTTTTAGACTGCTCGCCCGACTGACAAGCTGAACTTCCACTGACGTCACGGCCCTGAAAAGGGCGGGTATATTTGAATGTCTGTTTTTGCATCATTTTCATTTGCCGATTTCGCAATAACTATTATGAATTTCACGATATTAAATAGCATTCCAGAAAGGGTAAAGGCCTGGGAGTCAGAAAATATAGTTAGTTGAGGTAGCTCAAAAATCGGCGGAGTACCCCTTTAAGTGCGACCGAAAGAAAAGAAAATCCGCAAAAATAAAGAATGGTCAACACAAACCTTGTTAACTAATGATACGGAACTGAAATGTTTCACCGTTTCCAAAAATATCTTGGGTTCGCAAATTCCCGTTGATTTGGCTCGACTATTACAATTTTTTTTTTGACATGTGGGACAGCTAATGTGGTCATTCTTTTACATTTCATAGCAGCCTTTCAGTCCTGCTAAATTAAACTGCTGACCGAATTGGCACAAGATTACACATTTTGCACGCAGAGGTTAATGAAAGCATCATTCCTTGAAAGGTTCACTTATTAGTATACTTGCATTTGCATGTAGCAGATTGCAGCAAAAGTTTATAGTAACCGCACTCGTCAAAAAAAAAACGGTTTCATTAATGACACTTTTGATATAAGTAATAATAATATGTAGGAATTCGCGTACCGCCGCCGATTCGCCGTTTCCCACGTGGTCCGTCAACAACCCGAGTGCAGCCTGGATCTTTCACGGGAGTGGGATTCCGCTCCCCGTTTATTGGTACAATAAAACACAACGCTACAAAACACTCAATCTAAACTACAAATACACGCGACACTATACACAAATATTTACAAACGCACGTTAAGCCCAAAGCTACACACAAAGAGGGACCCCAGGCCTCGTGTCCCGCGATTACCCTAGATCCGGTCGCCCCACACTTGCCTGGGCTCGGTAGTGTCCGAAGTTCTAAGAGGCTCTTCGCCCCCTGTCTACCGAGTATATCTCGATCGATGGGCGAGGAGCTTTCTCCTCGCCCGCCATGGGTAACGTCCCTGGATATTTTTTCAGTGAACAAACATCGAGGGACTTTAGCCATAGCCATGGGGCGCCTGCAGCGCCTTCCAGTGGCTAGGAGAGAAAGCGGCGCGTCGGGAGCCGAATTCGAGATCCCGATCGACCCCGCGGCGACACGACCAGGTGATCCTGTCTGAGGCGAGGCAACTGCATAGCCGCCTGGCGGCTATGCAGTTGCGCCATAAATGCGCAACTGTGCGGTGCGCCATAAATACGGTGCGCCATAAATATCATCGCAAACTTACTTCAACACAAAATTAAAAAACGCTGTAAAAACATTGTTTAATGTATGACTCACTCTATAGCTGCTTTTGGAGTTCTTTTCCACATTACGAGGTGCACAGTCGAAACTCTTCTTTTCTCGAGACTGCTTCTTTGCATCTCAGATTTTTTTTCCCTTGCTGTACTGTCGCATTCTCATGAGCACGTAGTACTGAAGTATCCTGGCCATGGCGTCAGTCTTGCGCTCGTCGCAGGGAAATGACACCGTGGTTGATCGTGTTCCAAAAAGCATCATGCTCATCGCTGCACCCCCCCCCCCCCCCCCCTCACCCCCCGAGAAGCACCGCTCAGCTACCCTCAATATCTTGAAAAGCTTAGAGTTCGGGTGGATGAGGCCACCTTGTGTCGTTGAGTTGGTCAAAGCCGCCTCAGGTGCCTGATTTCCTCTCACAGATAGGGAGTCCCTGCAGAGAGTGCAACGTAGGGACTCCCTATTCGTGGTCCCCCTCTTTTCCGCTTCCTTTTCCCAAAACCTCTACCCCCTTCCCTCTTCCTTTTCCCAGGCCCCCGTACATTCCAGTCAACGATAAGCTCAGACAGCGCCGAGACAAAGCTGCCGACAGATCCCCTGTCAACACATATACACCGCGACACCCCGAGGTCATCGCGGTTCTCCCAAACCAGTCAGCCGCAAACAGTTTTCGGCCTCCGGACGGGTGACTAATGCATTCGGCAGACGTCTTTACCCTGATCGTCTCTTTCACTAATATTTTCACGTCGTTGTTTTCCCTTTCTAAAATATTTATGTTTCCCCAGGTTGAAGAACAGTCGGCGTATTCATTCAAATGTTTGGCTGTTTCCGAATTCGGATCTTTGTTTTTTACACTTCTTTTATCTATCATTCACCATTGCAAAAAAAAAAAAAAAAAAACAGAGGCGGCGTAGGCAATGGGTGACCCCCCGTTCTGGCGAAGGGCCGGCGGCCGGACGGCCTCAACGTTTTGGCGGGTAGGCAGCAAAAACGGTTCAAATGCGAGGTTTTATAGGTTTCCAGCTGTCTCTTTGCACCCAAAAAAGCGTGCGAAATGGATCCAGGCCTTGCGGAGACAGAATCCGGACGGTACGTCTTGGGAGCCAACCGTGAACTCTCGTGTTTGCAGTGCCCATTTCGTCGGAGGTAAGTGAACGTGCCGAATTCGTAGAAACTAAATGTTACTAAGACGCCGTTTCTTATGTTTTTACTGTGCAGACGAGCCTTCGCGATATCCAGATCACCCAGATTTCGCTCCGTCCGTGTTTGTTTACACGGCACCGGGTACGGCCACAAGTGCGCTCGCACGGTACAACAGGACAACGAAGCGACGGGAGGCAAGACTCTCACTACAGGCGACTCATTATGGTACGTACGTTATCGTTGCGAAGAAACGACGAAGCACACGCGAGCCGTGGAAATAAGCATTGCTTACACGTGCGACCTCGTCCAGAAGCGCGAGCTCAGAGTATCGGTAAATGCTTTCGCTGCACGAGGGTTCGTGCAATGGTCTGGTAATGCTCGCGCTCTAGCCTTTGCTTTAGTAGAGGGGCAAGTTAAAGGCTTTCAGAAAGAACTCCTTTATAGAATCGGCGAATCGGCTCGCGATCTCGACTCTGCGCGTGCCCCTCTGCACGCACAGATTCGTCGATTCTGAAAGTCCTTTCTGAAAGTATTTGCTTGCCCGTCTGACAGAGGTATAAGTTGAGACGGCGAGGGTAGTTTTCGAAAGCAGTTAAGGTGGGCGACTGCTCACGCACACAAGATATTCCGCAGAGCCACCATCACAATCATGCCTGTGCCAAAAGTGAAAACAACCTGCGCGATAGAAACCTTTAAGGGGGGTTTCTTCAGTCTAGCAAGTTTGCTCTGGTCTCAACAGACACGCTTGCATCTGCATTCGTCTCTCTTCACTGATTCTTAATCTATTTTATTTTGTGCTGTATTTCAGGAGCTATTCAAAATGTGCAACGTCAAGCCTCTTCAACAAGCCCGACTGTATCACTAGACAGTCACGGTGCTGGCGTACCCATGAATGAGGACCAGCAACCTCTTGTGACAGACGAGGACCTACTTTCTGCTCCGACAGATGGAATCGACTGTTCTGCAGCTGTTGTCGAAGAAATACCTAGTGATGTACTAGGAGAAGAGACAAGTTCTGAAGTAACGCCAAATCTGCCAAACGAAGAAGTTGCGCTTCTTCATGCCAGGATCAAGGAACTGGAAAGTGATGTAGAAAGGGAGAGACAACGAAATGGGCTCCTGGACCTTGAGTTAAAGAAATCGCAACAGAGTAATGAAAACCTTGCTAAGAAGTGTCTTGAAATGTCCAACCAAACACTAAGTTTAGACAACGTTAGAAAAGGCAAGCACTTCCTGTATTACACAGGCCTAACAAGATACGAAGTGCTGCACAATCTGCATGACCTTGTTGTTGCAAGGTACCCCGAAATTTGCAAGGGGAACTACATGCGTGCCCAAGAAACTGAGGAACAGCTCCTCATGGTTCTTGTGAGGTTGAGGACGAGCATGCCCTGCAAGGAAATTGCTCGTAACTTTGGACTCTCCGAGTCAACTTTAAGCCGCACCTTCTCACGGTGGATTTTTATGTTGAAAGACACACTGAAAAGTATTGCGCGATTCCCGAAACCTCATGAGGTCCAACGCAACATGCCCGCATGTTTTCGAGAATTTCCCGATACGCGCATCGTGCTAGACACAACTGAAGTCAGAATCCAGAAGCCATCCGGTCTGGAAGCACAAAAGAAAACATTCTCTGGCTACAAGCACTCGAACACAATGAAATGTCTAATCGGTATAACACCAGACTGCTACGTTTCATTTGTTTCAAACCTGTACGGCGGAAGCACGAGTGACCGTGCCATCGTTGCAGAGAGTGAGGTACTCGACATGTTGGAGTGCGGCGACGCGGTGATGGTTGACAAGGGGTTTAAAGTGCATGACCTCCTGCCAGCGGGCGTCAAGCTGTACATTCCCCCATTCCGCATTGCTGGGGAAAAACAGATGAGCCGCAGCGACGTTGTCTGTACACGAAAGGTGGCACGGGCAAGGGTGCATGTGGAAAGGGCGATACGGCGCATAAAAGAGTTCCACATCTTTGACTGCCCACTGCCATTAAACATGGCTGACATCGCAGACGAAATATTTACGACATGTGCATTGTTGTCTAACTTCAGGGGTCCTCTGATCCATGGAGCAGAGCAAGCAGGGTAGTTTTGTAACTTCAGCTGACCGTGACTGTATGTAGCGACTGTGACATGTATGCTTCTGTTTAGGACAATAAACAAAAGGAGAGCAGTTTTGTAACTTCAGCTGACCGTGACTGCATGTAGTGGCTGTGAAACGCATGGTTCTGTATAAGTCAGAACAATAAAAAAATGATTTCACCGTCAACCTTGCTCGGACATCATGTATCTTAGACACAGTTCCAAAAGATAAAGCAGGCACTGTTAAGAATGCACAAAGTTTCCTATCTTCACTTCAGTTTCCTGATACACACTTTCAAGGTGTCCAGATCACTGTCACACACATAGAACCCATCCTTGTACTTCAGGTAGGGCACATAGCCTCTTCCAACCGTGTGCAGGAAGTTCAGCCGCTTGATGCGGCGTGTGATCAGCTCGGGCACAAGGGCAAACCGGTAAAAGTACTGCAGGCCAGGTAGAATGTCCTTCTCCCAAAACCCCTTGTCAAAAGGCACACGTTCCACTGAAATGGACTGCCACAAAGGACCATTGTTAGTCCACACAACAAAATCACACCACTGTGCTCCAACTACTGCCATTTGCCCCTGAACTTGGAAGTAGTAGGCGTGCGTCTCCTTCAGTACTACACTCCCATCCACAATGTGGCAGCAGAAGTCATCAGAGTTGCAGGCTTCCGCTGGTGTCATTCCTTTCTTTGAACGGGGACACTTCACCTCAAGGAGGCCCTGGTCACTGCCCTCGAACACAATGCGGTCTGGTGACACTGCAATATACGAATAGTCTTTGTGGACATGAAGGCCCGTCTCCTCAACAGCAATGTTTCTCCCCTGACATGCCATGAAAGTCACATACGCAGAGACAGCAACTGGCTCGTTGTCTATCCCGTACTGTCGCGGATCCCCGGGCTTCAGGCTATGTGCTCGTGGATACAAAATGTCACGCAGAACTCCTTCGGGACAAACACAGTGTACGATGCGCCGAAACATTGATGCCCCAAGGCGGCCTATCTTTTCTCTTCTCCAGGTGGGATTGACTTGCTGACCCACTGTAGACTTGCACACTGTCTGTCTTTCCCCATCACTTGTAGGAGGAACAGACGCCACGTAGGACCTTGCGATATCCATGCACCTTCTCGAAAGCAGGTCTTCAGTGTCCCCTATAAGGCGGGGCTGATTTTGCTGAGGTGCCTCTACTGCGTAACGATTCCACAGCATCGTAGGGTCCGCAGCTCCCAACTTCTTCAGGATCTTGTCAGTGAGGAGCTTTTCCGACACTCCTGAACTTTGTGCAGCAGGGGCTCGGCGCTTGGGTTGCTTTGGCGTTGTCTTGTTAAGAACATGTTTTCGGAAAGTGATGTCATTTAGTGCAGTGGGCTTTTTTTTTTTTTGGCTGGAACAGAAAGAAAGAGCTTAGCATGCTCTTTGCTCACTTTGATCGCATGCAGGTTTCACTTAAAACAGGTGAGTGTCCCTTCACTACATGCCATCTTATTTTACTGGGTTTCCAAAAGATTTCAGAAATATGTCCAGCTTGCCTACTTTGTGTATGGACAGCTTTTACTGTGAATAAAGGTATCCCTAACACTGCTGAACTTGCACAAGCTGTAGTTTCGTCGTCAAAACTTTCTGCTGTTACTAAGCTCGAAAGATTGTCAAGGTCGTGCCTGGGCTCTACATTCAGATATGCAGTACACCTCGAAGCTTGTGCCATGGTGCTTGGCTGCAAAGCCGAAAGATCTTTGTGTGCAAGAACGGGAAAAAAAAATACTATAATGTTTAGCCTCAAAGACAAATGATACTCTATCATAACATGTCATGACAATACCAGCGAGCTGGTACACTCAATCTGGGGCATAATGGTTATTACCCTTTGCTGGTGCAATCCACTGGCACTTGACATCTGTCGTCGAGGGCTGCTGGATGTCAGCAAGGGCAAACATCAGGCCAGCGACATGCTGGCATGTTCCACTCAACCTGCGCAGTTGAAATTTTGAGAGGATTAACGAACAGAACTCACAACAACATTTGAGCTTATTAGCATTATGACCATCAAAATCTAAATGGATTAACATCTTCACAACACGGTAAAAAAACAGTAAGTGAGGAACAAAACATGCTTTACTTGTACTGAAATTTATACCGTTACACTGTCCGTCTCAAGAGGATTGGCGACCACCTTTATTTATTCATAAATGCTGGCATTAGGCACTGACACAGATGTGTGTATTTAAAAAAAAAAAAAAAGAAACATAAAACAAAACGCCAATAACAGCGCGTATACGGCAGAAATGTGGTCTGTGTACGCCGATCACGTCATGTTTTTGGCATGCATATGGCTAAGTTATAAATCAGAGCACTAAGCACGGAAATGGACTCACCCTGCCACACAGTCGCAATAAGCTTGAACAACTTCGGCGTTCGTTGATAGCGAAAGCAGCTGTTTGTAGTGGCCAGGCTTCATGGAAGGCGCGCACAAACTCCGCACAAGAGAGATAGTCGGGTCTGGATCGAAAATGTTCACCATTATCTTCTTCACGTGGCATTCTTCCTTGAAAGCCCAGCCTTTCTTCAGTCGCTTGCACGACTCGACACCGAAGTGACGCTCGACTGACTCCGTGTCGACGGTAGGAACCGATGTGGCATCGGCGGTCCATCCATCCTTGAAGGCGTAGAGGCGAACGAAGTCCTCCGTATCGTAGACGATCGCCTTCGTCAACCCTCCAGGGTCGTCGTCGGCCATTCCGCAGAAGATATTGAGCCGAATCGATGAAAGAAATACACGTGCACAATGACGGAAGGCAGACGAACGCAACCCGAGAACGAAGGTTAACACAGCGAGAACTGAGGCGCGCTCGGACGGCGGAGCCCTCAGAATAGCTTGGAGCGATTCCCGCGAGGGCGCGCCACCATCGTGTCAAAACTCTGAAAAAGGCGAGACTGTCCCTCGCCTGGCCGCTCTGCCTTGCGATCGCATTGCCTTGTCGCCTGCCTCCTCTTAATCTTCTATTTTTCGATTCCATTACTTGTTTTTATCTGTTCCAAGTGTATTTCTTATTGCTTTTAATTGCTTCTATTCTCTTCTGCGCACGATATTTCTTGTATATTTATAGTATTTGTGTCTTTATTTTGCCTTTCTCAACGGGAGTGCCGATGGACAACACGCCGCTTCGCGCGTCGTTTTCCGGGTTAGTACTACCGTTGCTACCAATTCCTATCGCGCTGTTAGCTGTTCATTTTGCTTCACTTTGACCCGCGTGCAGTCAAGAGGAGGCAGCTTATGAACACCCGTGCACATGTCATAGTGGTAGGCAGAGCTCTGAATCAGCAATCGCGACGCGAGAGCCGAGTGCACTGTGATTTGGCCGCCAGCGCTCGCTCCGTTGACTCGCACTGCAGCGCATGCCTTCGAGTGCGAGCTTACTCGACCAAGATACAGCACACCGCTTTGTCGCCGCGAACCATTTGTCCGAATGTTTGCGAAGCTGAGGCATATGCAACGCTGCGGCGCCTGACAACTGCGCGCTGCGGCGCGAGCCCTTCGCAAGCGCCGGTGGCCCAACGTCACGGCTTGTATGCGCTTATGGTATGCCTTCTTAATCTATTTGCTCAGCGGTTGTCAGTTGCAAACACCCTTTTTCAAGTGCTGGCAATTGCGCGCTGCTGCGTGCAGTTGTCAGGCGCCGCAGCGTTGGATATGCCGAACGGTGTTACGGTTTCGCAGGCATTCGGACAAATGATTCGCGACGGCAAAGCGGCGTGCTGTATCTTAGTCAATTGTAAGCGGCACTCGAAGGCATACGCTACAGTGCGAGTCAACGGAGCGAGCGCGGGCGGCCAAATCACAGCGCACTCGGCTGTCGAGTCGCGACTGTTGATTCAGAGCTCTGCCTACCCCTATGACATGTGCGCGGGTGTTCATAAACTTGCGGTTCCTCTCGAGTGCACGCGGGTCAAATTGTAGCAAAATGAACAGCTAACAGCCCGATAGGAATCGGTAGCAACCGTAACCCACCCGGGGAACGACGCGCGAAGCGGCGTGTTGTCCGTCGGCGCTCAAGTCAAAAAAGGCAAAATAAAGACACAAATACTATATATATACAAAAAATATCGCGCGCAGAAGAAAATAGAAGCACTTAGAAGTAATAAAAAATACACCTTAACAGATAAAAATGGGTAATGGAATCAGAAAGCAGAGGATTAAGAGGAGGCAAGTGACCAGGCAATGCGATCTAAAGGCAGAGCGGCCAGTCGAGGGACAGTCTCTCCCACAATTCGTCGCGCGCGGGCCGGGGCGCTTGCGAAAATAGCAAATCGTCTCAGCGCAAAGAGGGAGCCGACCTGAAACAAGCCAGAAACCGAAACTTAGACAATTTTTGCTGAAATTTGGATTATATCTGTCGGTGAATTGATCTCATGTTTTTAAACTGGAATTGGTCATATTATGCGAGAAAAAACACTGCGGAGGTGACCGCGCTACATGGCTTTACTGATACTCAAACATTCCACTTTATCTCAGTTTCGCTTAACATAGAATTCGCTCATTTCGAAAAAAAAAAAGTTCTTTACCTATGATCTCGTAAAAAAAGATAATCACAAGACCCCAACGCCCCTTGACGCTCGTACTTGGTGCCACAGCGTTTACTCATTTGAGTGATTTGCGGAGGCGGTGTCTCGTCCGGGCGAACAAAACAAAACAACAACAAATGTGGCGCACGGTAAAAGATGCTGGGGCCTTAGTGGCAATTCAGTTTTGCGAAGTGATTAATCGGAACACGTAATTAAAAAAAATTATCGCTTGAATCTTTTTTTTTTTTCAGTAGCTTTGCTACAATTGAAGTATGCTTTGATCAGTACGTATATAAGACTCAACACTATCTAAACTTCTGGCAATTCATTTTTTGGCATTTCAGCAGTACAACATATAGTTCTGCTTCCGTGCAATTTAGAACTCGCACACCTATTTAGAAGTCAGGGTGATCGTAGAAAGAAAACGAAATCCGGTTCTCTCGGAAAAAACAAAGCTGGGACTCTAATGGCTGCTGATTGTATCGCGAACTGGTTAATTCCCACCCCTGCCCGTTTCGATCTGGATGAGATGACACAACGCCAAAAAGAAATGTATGGCATACTTTGTTTTTGTAATGCCGATATCAACAATCTACATGCTATTTGGAAATCGTATGGTACGAAAAATCTCAGAACGCGAAATAGCCAAAAACCGAGCGTTTGAGGCGTTTTCTCTTTTCTTCAGACCGTTCTTCTTTTTTTAATCAGGTAAGAATGGGACAAAGGGCCCACTTTGCGATGGCTTTGGAAGCCCACACCCGTCCCCGATATCCTCTTTTTAACTACAGAACAAGAAACAGTTATTCTCGCAACTGGCAGGGTGGGAGGACGGAATGGGTGGGGTGGGGGTTTTTAGGGCCAAGCTGCCCGCTAATAACCGAAACAAAGGACGAGCTTTTTCTTTTTTATTTGGAAGTAGCAGATGGGTGGAAAGGCTTCCTCCCCAGTGCCATCTAGATTCTGGAAAAGTTCTTATCGGAGATGAAATTCTACTGCGATATCCTCCTAAACTCCAAAGTGAAGCCTCGTCTGCTCACCAGTGTTGCGGAATGGGCACCCCCCTTCCATTCCAATCCTATTCCGGGGAATTCGAATTTTCGACAATTCTATTCCTTTCAACTCCTAGGAATGGGGACACTGGGACCATTCCCACTCCTGGAATGGCTGAATCGTTCCATTCCATTCCTCTAATTTTCAAACGTAAAAATTGGCACTTGACAGCTACATTGTATTTCCGGCATAAGCAACATAAAGCTGACATTATCAAATGCAAAGACATTTGCAAAAAAAAACAACTAACTAAATGCTTCAAAAAAGCATTGATTTTACTAAGCAGAGCGCTGGTGGCACAAAGTGTTTATTTACATTGTACTGCAAACATCGAGAAAGCCCCTTGATATGCCGATGCTTGTTTAAGATATCGGTCTCGCGACCACGTGGCTCCCAACAAAGAGCAAAACATAAATACACTCTTTTTTTTTTACTTTTTCGCATTTGACTTTTAGGACATACGCGGCCAGCGTGTTTGTTTCATAAGACCATAAAAAATGTCCAGTTCGTGCGTGGCGCAGAAATAAGATATATACATAACTGTATTTTTCAAATATCTTCACACCAACACGGCTAGTACGCCGCTGGAAGCGACTTCATGCACAGCGGCAAAGACAAAGTGCGACCTCTACGACGAAGCACAAGGGACCGTATAGGGTCAGACCATGTTCCGAACATGTTTTAAAAAGCATAAGTTCACTCTTGCTTTACGAATCCCGATGTTTCATATCATATTCAACTCAATTTTTGGCTGGTTCGCCTGCCCTTTTCCACCCTTCGCGTACTCATTCTCGTGTTTCCTCTTCAGATGGCGAATAAAGTTCGATGATACGCCGACTGCACCGTGTACAGTTTCGTTGCACAACTTTCAGCGTGCACCTTGTTTATTTTCTTCGTGACCAACGACGAAAAATGTCTTCCACGATGCCATGACTCGATCTGTGTTTTTCTCATCGATCGGCGGGTTCAGGCAGCAGATGGTACCAACCGATTTATTCTTCTACCTCGGTGTCGGCTGTTCGCGTTGCACGGTCGCGGTCGCACAGTCAGCGTCGACAAAGCTAGCTTCATACCAAGATACAATTAACGGGGTAATACCGCACCGTTCGAGTTGACATTCCCCGTGTCTCCTCAACACCTCCGTCAAACTGACTTCTCACCGCCTCAAACAAGGTCCAGGACAAGAAGCACGGATGCAGACCGGACAGAAGAGACGCGCGGAAGCCAAAACCTCATTGCATTTAGCACCCAGCTATCCTCAGTCACAGAAACGGTCGCGCCTCGTCTGGCGCGGTACGGCCCTTCTGCAAGTCCGGTCAGTGCGGTCAGGTGACAAGAGCGGTAACGATGGTGTATTTCATCTTACGATGGACCGCAACAGACAGCACGAGAGCCATCGAAACCAATCCAGTGCCTTCTGAATGTCGCGTGAGCCGGCAATGGCCAGGCGGCGCCACGATAGTACTGCATTCAGCGCCACAAGCGGAGGCGCCTCTGTTAAAGGACACATGCAAAGGAAAAAAATTTTTTTTTTAGACAGCTTAGATGGAAAAAGGATGTCATAAAACGATTTTACAACGAAGAAACAAACTTTTTAGAGCTATATTTACGGCGCTATACGAATTTATAGTTGGCGCTCGCGGGAGCCGCCGCTGGTCACGTGGTAGGCCCGCGCGCCGCCGCGCTGCGTCGCCGCCGCACGCTGAGAGTTGTGCGAACGCCGCTTCAACGCGTTTCTCCACGCCGCCGTCGCCGCCGCCGCACAAGTTCGTCTGCTTCGGGGCGCCACCGCCGTCGTCTGACCGGCGCACAGGTCTATCACGTCTGCTTGCGCTTTTTCAGGAGTTTCCTTTGGGCTCTAAAAATTACTTATTCGTCTTGGTTTTTTGTTATACTTCAAACAAAGATTAATAAGTTACTTTTAGAGGCCATAGGAAGCTTCCGAAAGAGCGCAAGCACCACGTGATAAATAAAGACCAGTCACGTGATAAATACAGACCACTTTTCCGCAGTGCCCGCGGGCGCCAACTACAAATTCGTTTTGCGCCGTAAATATAGCTCTAAAAAATTTTTTCTTCGTTTTTTTCCTTTGCATGTGTCTTTTAAAGGACACA